TAATAGTACGTTCAGACTACAGATTTATAACATGTTATAGCACAATCTTGATGGTGGTTTCTATGTTGCAATTATTTGACAACCGTTATAACATGTTATAACTCTGTAGTCTGAACGTGGTATTAAGCTAGCTTTCTTCAAATCAGTTGCTGTGAATTTCAGACGGACAACCCTATGGTGCCTTTTTTGTGCAACGCGATGTCTCAAATGGTTAGAGGCATTATGGTAAGGTTCATTAATATTGATCATTTGAACAATATTGCACAGGTAAATGCACATTCGATTAATATGATCGCAAAAGGGAACGACTGGACGTTTTTTGGCACAGGTTATTGGTCGGCGTATTCAGAACTATTGTTGGTTGTGGAAATGATTTGCTGCTTATCGCATGGCAACGCCAAGGCAGAGAGAGGTTTTTCGGTAAATGCAGAATATCTTTTTGAAAACATGAGGGAAGAGTCAAGGCCCCAGCGCACTGACAGCGGAACGGCAGTGGTAGCGGAAAAGCCCGATCTGAGTAAGCCTACTTGTCGGATTGAAAACTAGTTAGAATAAAATCGACTGCGGTTAGGCATCTTGATGTCATTTGTGACAATTGTCAAACATTGCGTTTGGGCCTTCAGTCGTAGTGCGACGTCAGATCTATTATGGTGTTACTCATGCAGGCGAGTTGGAAAACTTATAAATTTTGGGAGTTGGTTGGAAATGCTATCTAATATGAAACTTTAGTGCGCTAGCTAGAGAATGATTTTAGAAAAGGGTAGGCAGATAGTTCCGTTAGAGTACGGAAGTATGAAAATTTAATAGAAGTTGAAAATGAGCGAAGGGCCATTCATGCGACAGTACAAAGTCAAACACACACCTTTTGCCTAACCCGTACGATGTACGCGGAGATTTTAAGTATGTCTTCAAATCTACAGAATGAACTTATTCAGCGAGTTCGAAATTCGCATTCGCTTTCCATGTAGACAAGGACCGTCGTATGAAAGAAGCTCTCGATTCCTACAAAGCGAAATTGTTGAAACGCCAGAAAGAAGCAGAAGCGAAACATCTCGAGAATAAGCGAGGAAAGTTATTAGAAGATGCTCAAAAAGAAGCCGAGAGTTTGCAGGAGAAAATTGTTCTGCTCAAATGATAAACATTTTTAAAAGTAGTCCGAACATAAAACACATATTCAACTTGTAATTTCTCGTTGTAATGTGAACTCACTTAGTCAATTATTTTGCCATGTCTGAGGTTGTCATATGGAGTTCCAGAGAGTACGAAAACTTACTGACTTATGCATGAGCAGTGCATCCTCAGGTTCGGTTGCCAAAGCAAGAATAATCACTGCTCTGTTATTTTACAATAATTCATATGTAAAGAGAAAGGATCGTCTACGGGTTGATTTTTATTTGGCTGTGAAATTATGAACACAAATTGAGAGCTTGGTGACATTGATTAAATATTCCTATTATTACTTAGTAGTGAATAGTGAGCCTAGTTGTGAGCAGTAGTTATTCATTATTATATTATAATATGTATTTATAGCCCTAGGCCTATTCACATCCTTCGTAGGTAGTCGGTCATATGTTCTGTAAAATACTATTAGTATCAAGTTTTGTTGTACGTGCCATGAGTATGCTATTCTTGATATTTTCGAAAACTTACCCTGCTGCTCATTTTAAACTAACCTTAATTTGCACTACGGTATAATAAAGCACATCACGTTGTAGCTTCTTAGGTTGAAATAACGGAGTTTTGTGGACTGGATTTTTTTCTGAAAACCGACTGGAAAGTCAGGGATTTTTTTTTTTCGACTTTGAGTCGACACCCTGCGAAAGAACCAAGAATCATGTACGTAGGAGAAATACATGGAAATGTGGTTTTTTATCCTTCGGCAATAAATATAAGGACACCATACAAAAATGTATGAGAAATTGGTCATTTTCGAAAAAAATATTTAGCATGTCACCAAAAGAGTTAAACGCTGTCCAGACTGGAGAGTTATAACATGTTATAACGGTTGTCAACTAATTGCAACACAGAAACCACCATCAAGATAGCGCTATAACATGTTATAACCATAGAGGTAACTCTAAGACCACTGGGTCCCGAAGAAAATCATTATTATTTTTGGCTCACTCAGTACCAGAACAACGGTCCCAAGCAGTCCCAAGCTATTTCACTCACCCCTGCATGTTCTGCATGAATCCACACACCCCTGATGTTATCTGTCAAACTTTCATAGCGAATCAAAACAAACATAGTGTAGTAATAGAATTTCAACTAGAATAGGGTACGTTAATCGTTTGCTTGGGACCAATAGGCTACTAAAGTGGTGAGCCAATTTAAAATCGTTAGTTTCGTATTGATTGTTGTTATAACTCTGTAGTCTGAACGTACTATAAGCTTATTGTGTGTGTGTGCATTCCCTCTAACCCCCACTGGCCGGCAGTGTTATTATGGAAGAATTCTCTCTACAATGTCGCATTTATGGTCATTGTAGACAGCTTTAGTCCGGGAGTTAAAAGGTGATAGCTCTATTGCAGATCCAGCCACCCATTTCAGAATGTCTGGAGAGTCACGCCCATTCCGAGGTTACTTTCGCTTACAAAAAGTCTCGCATGTATGCATCACCGTTATCAAATGGATATTGGTCTTACATACACGCTTCCAGGTTCGAAAATATTCGTTTCAAACCTGGCACGTATTTAGTTTATGTTTCTTTTAAATTTGAAAATGTTTTTGGACTGGTCTCACCATGTTAATTGGATCCTCCAATTCATGCGTTCCGTAATTTTGATTTTCTCTAAGCTTTGCATCTCATTTCGTGATGCACCTTTGAGGTAATACTTCCTTCAACGAACACAAATTTCCTTGCATTACCGAGGCATCCTTCATATTGCTCGCAATCTTCGACACCGAGGAGAGACTAGCAGCCGAGCACTTTTGCAAGCGAAAAACTAGCTGATTCATGGCAACGTCGGCCACCGAATCACCACCAAAACTAGCGACGGACACGTTCCCGGGCTAATTCACCAACCGGACCGATCTCTCAATAGAACTACACGCAGAAGTGTAGCATCCGAACTCGGAGAACCGGGCTCCCGGGAGGCAATGAAAACCGACACCGATCAATAGAATTGAAGCTGCTTCGTATATTTTGGAGGTTATATTCAAGATCAACGGAGTCACTCAAGGCAAAACACGATATATCACTAAATAATAACTTTATGAACACTTGAAACAACATTTAAGCACACAAGTTAAAAAATTTAAAGCAAACAATTTGAATTAATTCGCTGACGAAAAATACGCAGCAAAATAAAAACACGTCAGCTTTCAAGTGTGGCCTACTGCGATCAAATACGTATCTGTCATGGATACCAAAATTATTTAAGTGGAATTAAATGGAAGATAACCCCTTTTTTTGCTCTTTTATAAAAGTTCATTTCTGAAAAGTTACAAGCAGGTCCAATCGCTAGAAGTTATCGAACATCACAAAAATCATTTGTTGATCAGCGATGATCAAATATGAGATACATACATTTATGGGTTTTCCGAGTTAGCTTCTGTGTATCCATGTCAGTCAAAATCAATATTATCAAATATCTTCTGCTGGTTGGATTCCCGCCAAACATTGCAAAAATCAAGTTCAATAAGTATGTTTTTGGATATTGGCTTTTTTGATACCCTAATAAGTAAAGACACGCTTAATCATATTTGGAAAATAACCCATATACGGATTAGTTAATTTGTAATCATGTTCAAACATGTCTAAGCTTATTGTGGCATCGAAATAATCAATAAAGTAGTTCAAATAATCTTTGAACATGACTTTTGCTAAGTGATATGGAGATCTAACCGACATAACTTAAAGAACATTCGAATTTAATTGACATGAATACACAGAAACTAGTTCGCAATTGTTTTTTGTAATGTTCGAGAGCTTCTAGCGATTGGATCTGCTTAAAACTTTTCAGAAATGAAGTTTAATGATTATCTGAACTAACTCTTTGATTATTTTGGTCACAGACAAACAGACATAACACTCGCAAGTTGTTCATCGAACAAGCATTTAATGGTCAATTTAAAAGTATCGTAGTTGGTAGTACCGCCACCTGTGGCGCGCATAGTCAATTCCCTTGCGTTTGACGTTTACACACTACCGCCATCTGTTCAGCGTACTACCCACCACAGTGTACTCAACAGATGGCGATAATGTTTTAGCGACGATGTTTTACAGTGAGAAATATACAATGTGTTATGTCTGTTTGTCTGTGTTTTGGTTTTACAATAATTGTTGACATGCTAAATATTGTTTCAACAATGACCAATTCCCCACACATTTTTGTATGGCGTTCTTATATTATTGCCGAAGTAGAAAATCACAATTCAATTTATTTCTCCTACGTGCATGATGCGATTGGTTATTTCTTAGACTCATATTGTAGAATCATAATGTGGTTTCCAAACGTACATGATTTAGAATTTCTCTGATTCTTAAAATTGGGAGGAGCCATGGTTTTTAAAGTGTCCTTATATTATTTTTTTTAATTTTACTGAACACAATTAAAAATAGATGAGGAAGAAATAAAATCAGTTGGTGAAAACATACTCACACACACACACATGCACAGTGAAAAATACTTCCAGGGATACTTAACAATACTTCCATTGACAAGAACATATACATTGAGATAACACTTATAATAACAATAACACTGACAAACGTAAAGACAATAATACTGACTCACAAAAAAAAAATTAAGATTATCTAAGCTGATTTCGATAGACCGGTTTTACTTAGTTTGTCCGGCATAGTCACTTTAAAATTTTCCAAAAACAATCACGATCATTATAATCCTATGGGCCCTAATAAAAAAATACCATATCCGAACGATAACCCAAATGATCACACGCCATTAAGCAAAATAACCATACAAATTTTATTAGTGGGTTTAAAAAAATAAATAAATCAAATATAACAACTACATAAATGCCTTTCACCGTCCTAGCTCTCCGGCCGTTTGAAGTAAATGGCCCTGTAGCTTCCACTTCTGGAATCAACAAACTGAAGCGAAAGCAAACTCCAAAGAAGCAATCGAATCCAGCCCCCGTTCCCATCAAACGTGCCCCTCTGAAGCAACCGAAAGTCACAACGGTGATGGACAACTCCGTAGAGTGGACACATTCCACCCGGCCCGTTATGGCGCAGATTTGCGAACGGAACTTCCAGAGCATCGCAACCGGATCGCTACTATCGCCAGAACGTGCAACTCTCAAGCTACATAAGTCGGATGAAGTCATGGCCATCGAGCAGGAGGATCCGTTCAGTGACATTAATATGTTCGATTTGATTCAGACCGGAAACGAACTGCTATCGAATGATGGCCATCTGCAGGATATTGACATTGACGATTCTATGGAGGAAATTTTTGTTCCAGTACTGTAATTTTTACTTAGTCAACTCACCTTGCATGTTCCTACTTCCATTTGCTCCCGATGAACGGGAAAATTTTCGTTTTACTCCTTCGTCACATAATTTTCATAGAACTGAATTCTTCACTCACACTGTAAGTAGTTTGTAAGTAAAATCGGAAAACTTCAAGCGGTTTTTGAATTAAATCCTAATCCACCAACTACACAAGAGCAGTATGTTTCTTCTGAAAACAAAAGTATCTACAAATCACAATCTTCGTTCACAGCCACAATTATTTTCCACATTTTCATTGGTAGGAGAAAAACAACACCAAATGGAATTCCGTCTGGGTTTGTTCAAACCGGGCACCATGCAATTTCACAGTTAACAAGAGTCCATAATTCACTTTCGTCCAGATGCAGGACATTCAGGAGAATCGATTGTCCGTAATTAGTTACCGAAAGAATTTTGACCAAGGCTTAAATCCTGCAAATAATGGAATCGGGTGGTCCAAGAAGAAGAGTGTTCCTTTTGCTCCGTCGTATTTTTCCTTCTACATGTTTTCTTCTGTCAGTCTCGGGCTGATCTTTTTGTTCATCATGACCATCATCATCATCACGGCGAATGAGAACGACCCAAATTTAAGTTTACTTCACTTATAATCGCCAAAATGTTTTCATCGGGAAAAAAAACTTCATAGCAGAAAATTTTCCCGATGAAAACAAATCACACTTTAGCAATCTCTATAGGAACTCAGCGATGAGTAAATAATAAAGAAAATTGATGAAAATTTTACTCAGTATTACCAATAGACTGAGTGAATCCAATGGGCCATATGAATAAAAAAGAGTTTACTTTACTTTCCCGTGCTTTTCTTACGGGAAAAGTAAAGTAAACGCTTTTATTCATACGACCTAATCTTTACTTTTCTCATATTCGGGAAGCTTTTCCTGGACAAACCTGGAGGCAAATTTACTCATCGCTGAGTTCCTGCATTTATGAGTTAAGTAAACTCAAATTTGGGTGTTCTCATTCGCCGTGATCATCATTATCAGTGAAAACTTTCTTGCCATACTGATGATGCTGCGATGTTTTAGTGATTTTCTTTACACCAGAAAAAACCGTCACCCCTTTTCTCTATTCCGATCGAAACGGATTTCGCATACAAAAAAATGTATGAGAAATACGCTTCGAACGGAACTTAAGCAGATAATCATACGCCCAAGGTGATTACATTTAGGTGTTCTAATGTGTCGAATTCATGATTTAGCCATGTTGGATTTTTGTATAGGACAGCGACCGAGTTTGTTTACAATTTGCTCTAAAACCGTTTTTAAAACCTACCTCAGGTTCAGGTTCGCACTGACAAAAAGTTAGGCTTCACAACCACCAGTTCCAACCCCGATAATTGGGAGATTTCCGTAAAAGCTTGACGCAGATGTCGCCACTGTATGATGATGATAATGTTGACAGACTGCATATATAATTCGTGATAATTAGCATAAAATCATTATTTTCATCAAGCCTACATAAAATCCACCCAATATAACATTCGAATTGAAGAAGAAAATGTTTTCACGATCAGACTGATGTGCATCTTTGACTTTTCCAGATGAACTTTCATAAGATATATTCATTTCATTCTACAGCTCCATCAATGCTGTATCTTACATGATGTAAACACAAGTAAATTGCTCAATTACTCAAAATAAAGATGATTTGTCATCTTGTTATCACTTTATAAACCACCGAGCACCATTTTATAGTATGGTGCGTGTTGAGCAAATCAAGTTCAGTTGCGTTTTCCGTCGAAAATTGTGACTATCAATTATTGTTAACCTAAAAAAGGCTAAAATGAACATTTATTGAATATTGCCGTCCTATACAACCATTTCTCCATTATCACCAGCATGATACAATCTTTCCTAAGTAAGTTCACTTAATTTCCACTTTCATCCTAGTGGAAATCACAAATATTCACCATTTCCGAAAAATGCAGCTGCGCGGGAGGTAACCTCTACCTGTGGGTGCAAACTTGTTATGCATAATTTTCCATGAAAACATCTCCGATTGCAAACACGTTTTCATACACGATTCAAGCAAAAGTTTCCACCGGAAATTATTAGTTTTTCTTTATGTACCAATTTGCCCCAAAAATCGTCTGTTTTACGAGGAGGATTTGGAAATTATCCTCCTTCTAGTAGTGTAATGTAGGTGGCGAAAGCTTGGAAATGTTTCACTGCAAGACGCCATAAACAAATTCGCTATATACGAAATGTAGGTTCTAGAGTGGACTCAAGAGGAAGAGGCAGTTAATCAGACCTCATTAGTACCCATAATTCAAATAATGCTGCAAATCACACAAAACAAACTAAAGAAGTCTATTCATCACCCTCTATAGTCGGTCTCTAACAATGCTCCCCACCGGTTTCAACTCTTTCCGGCCGAAAGGCTAGATTTCTGGTCTACCTTTCAGGGCATTATAAAACACTAAAACACAGGACTTTTATTACCCTATGGATCACAAAACACCGAAAGCTCACACACCCGCCACTTCCCGCGTCATCCTCAATCCGATTTATCCTTGCGATTTCAAACTAAAACATTCAAGGTGTCAGAAATACCGGGTTGCCGGGATGGGTATTTTACAAACAATCGCAGGTTGCTCTATGACCGGCACAATCGGAATACTTGCGGCACACTGACAAAAAAGATGACCCAAAATTGGTGTGCGGAGTGACCTACCCCTTGGGATCAACACAAAAACAACACTGTCTACTGATTCAAAATTGAGACTCATAGAACTCGTCATAGAAGCAAAATTTACCAACAAAAGGGGTCCAGTGTAGTGTTTTAGAAAGGGTAAGCTAGCACTGTGATCACTATGAAAAAACCTTATTTTCACTAATATAATAATAAATACTTATTTGTCTACCCGAAGAGGTAAAAAAGACGGGTTCAAAACAGGGTCTAGGCCCAAGGAAGATATAAACACTATCAGATTTCAAGGTATTTGATAAAATGTTCAGCTATACCATATTGCTTTAAGGTTATAAATAAGATTCACGAATTCAGACATGAAATTATCTGATAACTAATGATAATTATCCTCCAGATAAGGGCTTCCAGATCGTATCCCCAACGTCCGAATCCGATTTTTAATGGAATCTTATTTATTTATTATTATTATTATAGTCCATCTGCCTTGATAGTCTTAATGAAACACTTAAATCTATATGTAGTCACTCATTAAAAATTAAAAATTGGCCGACAGCAAACGATGACGAAACCTGGAGGCATTGATGTCAAAGTCAAATAGGTCAGAGGCTTCGTTGAATTGATGAATCATGGCGACAAAGGAACTGTTTGCAGCATAGTTGGTTGCATGTACTACTTCATGTAGCAAGGTTCTCGGACGGAAGGCAGGAGCATACAGATTAATTTTGGCCAGTAACTCAGGAACATCATATTCTGCGAGCAAATCTTTAGCAACGAAGACGACCTGCGATATGTTTTGTCGCTTAGCAAGAGTATCCAAACCCAGTAAACGACAGCGGTCAGCATACGGTGGTAAATTCAGTGGATCACTCCATGGAAGATAGCTCAGAGCGTATCTGACGAATTTGCGTTGAACATCTTCGAATCGACCACTCCATACTGCTTGGTAGGGACTCCAGACAACACACGCGAATTCCAGTAGTGAGCATACCAATGAACAGTAAAGGGTTTTCGTGGTTCGTGGTTGAGAAGTGGCGAGTGTATGTGACCTTTTCATCCAACATGACACCGAGGTTTTTAACGTGATCGATACGTTGAACTACACTCCCAGCAACGTTATAATCAAACAAAATGGCAGTCCTAGTTCGACGGAAACTAATTACGCAGCACTTTGAGACGCACAGGACCATAAAATTACGTTACACCAATCATTAAAGATTTCAAGCAGGTTTTGTAGTTCTAAACAGTCGGCATAGCCTCGAACGACTAGATAAATCTTCAAGTCATCGGCAAAAAACAATTTACCTCCACGTAGTAGAATAAACGTTACATCGTTCACAAATAAAGAGAAGAGCAGTGGTCCCAAAGTGCTACCCTGTGGAATTCCTGATCTGTTCGAGAAACAGTACGATGAGTAGTTTCCAATGCATACAGTAACTTCACGATGCACGATGTACGATCTAAGCCAACTGCAGAAGGAAACAGAACATCAATTTTTTTCAAGCTTTGCTAGCAGAACGTTGTGCAGAACTCTATCAAACGCAGCTTTAAGATCAGTGTAGATTGCATCCACTTGAAGTTTCTTGCATACATTTTCCATACAGAACGACGCAAAGCTGACGAGATTAGTTTCCACGGAGCGGCCAGGAAAGAAACCATGTTGACATGTACTTATGTAATGCTTGCAGGAAGCACACAACCTTTTATTTATCAGCGACTCAAACAACTTTGATTCAACCCCACGGTAGTTTTCCACATTCCTTCCAAACCTTTTGAAATCTTATCTGCCGATACTGTTGGACCATTTACAAAAACCAACAACGGAAATAGATATATATTATCATTACAATGTAATCTATCAAAATACATTGTATTGGTTCCTGTACCTACAAAGGAAGCCAATGTATTAGCTAAAGCAATTGTAAATAATTTTATTCTAACTTGCGGATCATTTCTTCAACTTCGTACAGATCAAGGCACGGATTACAACAACGAGGTTATTAATCAAATATGTAAACTTTTAGAGATTAAATATACTCTTTCAACAGCATATCATCCGCAATCTATTGGGGCTTTAGAGAGAAATCCCAGATGTTTGAATGAATATCTTAGATGTTTCACTAACGCTCACCAAACAGATTGGGACGACTGGGTTGAATACTATGAATTCACTTTTAACACGACCCCTTATACAGAGCATGGATACACACCGTTTGAACTTGTGTTTGGTCAAAAAGCTAAATTGCCACAAAATCTTCAAAATGACATACATAAAACTGAACCAATTTATAGTGTAGAGCAGTATAACAATGAATTGAAATTTATGTTACAATACACGAATCACATTGCAAAAGAAAATCTAATACGAAACAAAGAAAAAAGACAATCAAGAAATAATGAACAAATAAATCAAATACATTTGAACATAGGTGACAAAGTATATTTATCTAATCAAAACAGAAAAAAATAGATCCATTTTATTTAGAACCATATATCGTTCATAAAGTCGAGACTCCAAATTGCATCATAATTCACCCACAAACTAAGAAAATAACAACAGTTCACAACAATAGGTTGATCAAAGTTTAAATGAAATAAAATAAGATTTACCATTAATCAGAATGTAACACCATTGTTTTTAAAGGGGGAGGTGTGGTGTACCTTTAAACTTCCATTTTCTACATTCCTTTCTGCTTAACTTTAAACAACGATGTTTGGTCATCGTTTCCAAAATCTACTTCCAAGCACACAATTTGCTTACCAGTAAACTTACTTATTTCCTCATGCCACCACACCAGAAGCCCACAACTAGGTCATAAGAACGTAAGCTACGACGGTCACTTATGCTCACATAATAATGTATGACAGAGCATGTGTAGAGAGAAAAGGAGAATCGTACGATAAGCTAGACGTAAGCATTCTCTTGAAGTGTAGCTGAAGTTCTAGAATGTAAGATATAAAATATGAGTGGAATAAACAACTAGAGTGATTCTTGATCAATTCTTGTGTATAGTCGTCACGTCCGAAACTCCAACTAATGGCTTATGGGAGCTACCATATACCATTTGTCTCCTTTCTTGAAAACAGGGAACATAGTAGAGCGTTTCCATAGTGCGGGAAATTTCTGTTGACGAAGTGACAGGTTGAAGAGCAAGGACAACGGAGCAAGATATTGGAGCATTTTTTAGGAATAACACTCGGACCTGGTGAAAATGATGATTTGGACCAGAACCATATGTACATCTACGGCAAAAACATCCATGTTGAACTCAAATAAATTTCAAACTAGCTGTTTAAAGTTTTAATTCAAAACACACAATATCATCGGCTTAAAATGAAGTTTCTATTGCAAAAGTTCTAGGATATTCCAATAAGATAATTGGAAAATTCGTTAAGCGAACGCCTGAAATTGCTAAGTGCTAAAATTTAAGCAGGGCTTGGTGTAATCTTATTTTACAAAGCTAAGCGGTGCTGGTGTAGAAAACGGCCCTTAGTGTAAAAAAATACAATGAACGATGCATTTCAAAACCTGTACAGGCCGCCATTACCGAGCGTGGAAAGCTGGATTGAACTAGAGTAAAATCGATTTTTGCTCTTGTTTTTGCTAGTTGGTTTTTTTTCAGTTTTTAACTATATCGACAATATTTATTCAGTATTTGCTCCTTTTGTTACGTAGGCTGTGTACGGCCTGCACTCTCATCCAAGAAAAAAACATCGCATCATCGGTTGTTTACCGTCAAATGACAATTCATAGTCTTTCTTTTTCTCTCTCATTGCGCAAACGCATCCAGAAAGAGAAAGAGCTTACTACAGTTTTCTTTCCCATTCACAGCACAGTTCGTATTTGGATTGCATTTCGAGTGGAAGTGGTGGGAGAGTAGTGTTGCGCCTGCAATCATTCGATTTTCCGAATAGATTTTTACAAAAGTGAAAAGAAGTCATTCGCGAATTTCCCGGGACCGTTCGACTCATTTCCAACAAGTGTGCATCATGTCTACCGAAAAGGAAAACATTTTTGTCTTTGTGCCGAATCTGATAGGTAAGGAAAGATTTTCTTTCTCACTGACTAAAGTTCGCGAGTCCTTTCTTCGCCCTTGCACTTTGACTGATGATGGACGATGGGAGGAGGAAAAGATGGGCGATTTTTCCAAACCACCACCACCCACTAAGTGCAGACGGAAGTAGCAACAACAACAAACTGTTGGTGGGATAAATTGATTTTTCCCACATTGCCCTGCGACGCCATAATATAAGATTCGTGGATTGTAGTTTATTTGTTTATGTTTAAGTATGGCACATTTTTCTTTCCAGGGTATGGCCGGATCGTGCTGGCGCTAGTTTCGTTCTACTACATGCCCACCAACTACGTGATCGCCGGGTGGTGCTACATCGTAAGCGTCGTGCTGGATGCCCTCGATGGGCACGCAGCGAGACACTTCAATCAATGTAAGTGCGTGCAGGGGACAGTAACGATTAATTTAATTAAGTTATAAGAGGGGAGTAGCGCAAAATTGGAATTGCATAACGAAACAATAAGTGGTTTATCTGTCTGTGGGGATTGGGAATTGGGGAAATGGGAAATGGTGTTTATCGCATTGATAAGGCCGCATGGGTTTATGGTGAAAGATAAGTTTAATGGTGGAATTTTTGCAGCTACAAAGTTTGGAGCCATGCTCGATCAGCTGACCGATCGCTGCGGAACGATGGGACTTCTGGTGACGCTAAGTTTCTTCTACCCGCAGTACATGTTCTGGTTCCAGCTGTCGATGGCTATCGATGTCGCTTGCCATTGGTTCTACCTGCATACGTAAGTGAACTGCTAATTTGGGTTCTAATGTCCGTTTAATTAGTTTTGCCTTTCCATCGGTAGGACTGTCCTGCAGGGTAAAACGTCGCACAAATTTATTGACATGTCTGGTAATCCGATCATGCGCGTCTACTACACCAACCGGACCGTGCTGGGCTTTATGTGCTTGTTCAACGAACTGTTCTATGCTGCCCTGTACCTGTTGCACTTCACTCCGGGACCGATGAGTAAGTATCGGGGGCGTTGTAGGGGGCCAGTTGATGAGCGTGAGTTGCACATTCTTATGGCAGAGTTGTTTCACTGGCAACAAATATCATTGGTTAATATCATTACGCAGTAGATTTGTTTCGTAACGTACGTAGCAAGGGAATATTGATCGCAAAGCTAATCCAGTTTGCAGTTTCGAACAATACTAAAATAGCCTTCTATTTCCAGTCCTCGGCATGTCGTCGTTCAAGATGTTGGCCATCTTCTCGGCACCGGTGGCCATCGTCAAGACGATCATTTCGGTTATCCATGGGTACGTTGCCAGCATGAACATTGGCGTGATTGACGTGGCCGAACGCGAGGCCCAACGGGAACGGGAAGCTGCCAAAAAGCCACAATAAGCTGTGCCCGTTCGATCCCGGTGTGCCTGTCCAGTGGACTTGGTTTGTATTATGGCTACACGTCCCTTCCCGTTTCCTTGCGTCTTCTTGCCGGGTGTAGAGAAGGGGAAGTCAGATTTCTTCATGAGTGTCAATCCATCGCGCGTAACTGAACAATCCAACAGCATTCGTTCGTAGTTTTAAGTGGAATTGGTCGTGATCACGGACGTCTCCCCCGGACGGATCACAGATGCACGCGAAAGTCGAGAGATATTCAGATTGATCATGATTGTAAAAACAGGTACATTAGTTTTTAGGTTAACTGTTAAACAGAATGATACCAAAATGAAAGCTTAAATTATATGACAATGGAACTTAAATTCGAAACAACGCAAACTAAAAGTCTCGCCATAACGGTGTCAAATATTTCGTTTTTATTACTTTTTTAAGAATCTGACGGGGTGAATTGACGAACGGCAGGAAAAGCTAATCGTATTTTATATTAAAAAAGAGGTGTACCGTAGCAAGAGAAATAATGCAATCAGCTTTATCATTCCACACGTAGAAGGGAACCACCTCTCTGGTGAACTAGGAAAGTAAAAATATCCCGTGCAATTCATCCTTTACTGTAGTAATAGTATATGGTTGTTTACTAACTAAGCGACTAACCCACAAACACACACATACAACTATATATTTAGAAAGAAGCAGAGATTCGACAGATCTACCTATTTGTCGACATATACCTAAACGAGAATGTCAGTGTACCAGCCTGATCCAGCTGTATGTGCTCATGTCTGTTGGAATATATATCTTAAACAAGATCAAATTAGTAAATTTCCCGAGCAAATCGATGTTACACTTAAATTATTTTCCTTTGTGTTTAGAAAAGTGTCTGTTTAGTAATAAAAAATCGTAATCCTATGTTAAAAAGCGAATGCGCAATTTTCTAAGGGAAAGAAATCCTAATCTAGAACCTGTTTTTTTCTTTGTTATTTCAGATATGGAACTGCAAAAGAACGCAGCGGCAAGTGACGATCGCAAAAGACCATATTTTGCATTTTGGGAATCGTGATTCGACGGTCGGACCTAAACAGATAGGAATGGATGATTTGACAATCGCAATGATACATGTACGTGCATGTGCATTAGAAAGCTCGTTCCGCTGGTTCTGGAGCAATGGCCGGAACATATTCCAGAAATTTTTAGAAACGTCTCAAACCCACCATGCGGCAAATTTATTAGGAGGCATGATGAGTAACTACCCGAGCAGAGAATGAAAACAATATTAGATATTTTGATATAAGCGTGCTTGATAACTGAAGGACACCGTATTCCTTGGGGCGTAAAGGAAAGAAGCAGGACATCCCGTAACAAGGAACACATTTTATTAACGATAAAAATATGACCGCTCTCTTCAATGTCTTGATGTGGAAATAACGCTAGGGAAAATGATTGAAGTGCTCAAGACAGCAATCCAATGACTACTTTGATAACACCCCCTCTCGTTTGGATACTCCTAGCTGCGTCCTTAGTTCATCGAATCGCCTAGCGTCCAAAGACTTTGTGAACAACTCAGCGGTGACAAGATCTCGAAGAAAACGATGCTCTCTTGCTTTCCACATTCTTAGCCTGCCGATGCATCCAAGATTGTCTTTATATATGGCTATCGGCTCGATCTTCTTTTCACCCAAATCACCTAGAACACCAGTCCCCGATGCTGCAGCGCTTAATGCCACATACTCAGCTTCACTTGATGAAGTAGCCACAGGCGTTTGTTTTTTACTCGACCAGACAATAGCCGATTCAAACACCTGGAAGACAAATCCGCTCACTGACTTCTTGTCCCCGCTATCGTCTTGTCGGTTGAATTGTATCTTCATACCAAGGAAATGGCTTAGCTCTCCACGATCGGTCATGGCGAACTTTCGGGACAGTTCGTTTTTGAATTTGATGATTGTTGACAGCTTCATTCCCGCTATGAGAAGATCATCCCCGCATAGTACGATGAAAATAGGGCTACAAAATGGTGAGTTGACAACCTGGAAGGAGCGGAATACCTACCTTGTTCCTACTTCACGCCTCCCCGAGTCATATGATAACAAAAGACTTCCGGCTGAAACATGGACACAGCCTGGGCAATGTTGCCAGTCCGGCAATAGCAAAGTGAAGAGGTGCGACGCGAACACTGGCGCGGTAACCATAGTACGGTGGAATCATAGGAAATGCTTCACCAAACTTGAGCGTCTGTTCACCATGGAGGTGCGGCTCAAAACGGCGTCTGTTCTCTATGTTAGGAGCGGCTGATCATCGTCCTGGTACCTCCGTGGGACTCTAAACAGAGCTGTGCACGATGGTCCCCCGGTGAGACAAGGGGTTGGGGCAGGCCCAACAAGCCGCCCTGAAAAAAAAAACAAAGTTGCAAAAACTGAAGAAAGAAATACGGATCGGAACAATCGGCACAGACCTACGCGACGAAATAAGGACTACGATTGGAAACTCGGAACATAGAACTGCAAATCGCTCGGCTTCCCGGGCTGCGATAGGTTAAGAAGGTGACCTGCGGACCCTTCGCAGACTACGAGGCTGGCGAACTGTGGCCATGGATCGAGTAGAGTGGAGACGCCTTTTTCGGACAGCAGAGGACAACAAGGTCTTAGCCTGATTGGTAAGGTAAGTAACGATGAAAATGGCATCTTTCCCCCTCTCGTCGGTACGGGTGTACACTGGAGTCGCTTTTTACGCGGTTTTTTTTTACACGGTTTTTTTTTACGCGGTTTTTTTTTACGCGGATTTCGGAATTTACGCGGTTTTTTTTTACGCGGATTCCGGAATTTACGCGGTTTTTTTTTACGCGGATTTTGGTTTTTTTTTACGCGGATTTCAGAATTTACGCGGTATATCGCTTTTTACGCGGTTTTTTCTTCCACGGTTTTTTTTTTACTCGGTTTTTTTTTACGCGGATTTCGGAATTTACGCGGTTTTTTTTTACGCGGATTCCGGAATTTACGCGGTTTTTTTTTACGCGGTTTTTTTTTACGCGGGACGTATCACCCGCGTAAAAAGCGACTCCAGTGTATAGGCAATAATCGTGCTTGGAACGAATAGAACCTAACTTCAGCAGCGCTTGATTGAACTTCTCGTTCCAGCAGCGAGGGGATTGCTTCAGGCCATATAGACTTGACGCCGTCCGGAACCGCAGCTCAAATGGATGAACACCTACAGTCAGCACAATACGGATTATCGTTAGCTCCAAACCGGCTTTCTGCAAGAAACCTTTGACGACCAATCTTGATTTAAAGTGCACAGGGTTTCCTTCTTCATCTTTTACACGGAAGATAAAGATAAACTTCGGGCTTCCCTTAGCTCAGTCGATAAAGGCGCAGCTACAAAGCAAGACCATGCTGGAGGTGGCTGGGTTCGATTCCCGGTCCGGTCTAGGAATTTTTCGGGTTGGAAAATTTCTCGACTTCCCTGGGCATAGAAGTATGATTGGACTTGCCACACAATTATACTAATGAAAAAGTGGTACAGGCATCGAAAGCTCTCAATTAATAACTGTGGAAGTGCATCTAGAACACTAAGTTGAGAGCATGCAATAAGCTAATATGCGATATGTAATAAGCTTGAAATGCGAAGAAGAAGAAGAAGAAGAAAGATAAACTTCGACTGCAAGGGTTGACACCGTCTTGACACTGATTCCACCGTAGGACTCCGGGGAATCTGGGAATGTTGAAATTTATCCCGCAGACGTTGCTCTGAACCCAGTTAAAAAGTCGATAAACTTACCTGGGAGTCCCTTTCACCGCGCCTAGTGTTTGACTCTGAATAGTCGTCACATCTTGAATGTGAAGGGTGCGCCCCAGGATTCTCAAGTGCCTCAGGTGGTTCTCCCAGTTCAACGTCTTCTTCGTCATCACGTGGAACAGGCATCGCGTCTTCGAATTCATCTTGCTGGTCGTCTTGTTGTTCCTCCAGTTCAACCTCATCTTCGCCATTACTTGAAACAAGCTTGCAAATGCTCATTACAGCTAAAATGCTATTTTTCGTATTTATGAAGCTATGAAATATTTTCATGATAATTCGTATTTACAAGATGCAAGAAGAGAAGGTAAAATGTTTGTTTGATACATAAAACCTGTCAATTTAGCTTTCAAAGGGTCACAATAGCGATTAGCTGTAACGATGAGCAACGTGATGAGTCTATGCCATACACAAACTTTACCACCTATTCTTGCTTCTTACAAATAAAAATTATCATTAAAGTATCTCATAGTTTCATAATTCCGAAAAATAGCATTTTAGCTGTAATGAGCAATTACAAGCCTAACTTGAAACAGACATTAACAGTCTCCAAGTCAGTTTGCTGGTCATCTTCGACGTCCGGATATACCATCGGAAACACCAACGGTACCTTCGAGTCTTGACTGTCTTCAATTGCGTATGGTGATGAATTTGCGTCAAATCTGATGTCGTATCCATTGGAAGCATAGCCTAAAGGCTGACTAAAAGTAAATTTATACGCACAAAAAGACCTGTAATTCGTGATTCAATAAGTTTAAAAATTCCATTAATGGTTGCTTTACTGTACTTTTATTAAAACTTCAAAGTTACAGCATTAGATGGTTACATTTCTCCAGTCCGAACGAAATCTCAAACCTTCCTCTTGATGGAGCCCATCAGCGCCCACACAGTAGAAACGGACACGGAATCAGCGCATTTCTTCCATTTTGCCCGCATTTGCTGGATGTCCTTGACTGCGCCGCCGTTTCGTCGAAGTCGCTGCTTTGAAATTGCCCAGTATTTTTCGATTGGTCGAAATTCCGGGTAATTCGGAGGATTCATTAGCTTGGGGACAAAATCGATCTTGTTGGCAGCATACCACTCTAGAGCCACCAAATCGGGCGAAAAGATGACTTTCCCCTATGCTTGCGGATGAACGGCAATGCACGCTTTTTCAGGCATTCTTCGATGTAAACTTCGGATGTCATCGTCGAGGATGTGACGAATGGTTCCGTTTTCAGGCCAGAACTGCAAATCGCTTGCCAAATCATGGCCTTCTTCGTGAACTTGTGGGCAAACACGAAGTTGAATCTTCCCGGCACATCCTCACGTCCAGTCGCGATGTAAAACTTTTGACCGGGAAGCTGCTTAAAATCGAGTTTGACGTATGTTTCGTCATCGATCAAAGTGCAGCCCTTGTGTTTCGTCAAAACACGGTCTTACAAGAGCCTTGCACGCTTTTAGGCCTCGAAAGTCTGCTACATGTGCCGGTTCGGATGTTTACTGGCTTTGTACAACTTGTACCCTTCCCTGGCAAGGATGTTCCACACCGTTTGAAAGTTGGCGTTGTACCTTCAGGCCACATTTCGGATCGAAAGACCGGTGTTGGCTTTAACGCTCCTCAACACCTTGCTGCGCATCTGACGATCCCTGGTTCCAGTTTTTTCGTAGGTCCGCTGATTCCTTTTCACACTCAGGGTTTCCTTGTAGGTTTTGAGCACTCGAAAAACTGTTGTTCTCGGCATCTTCAGCACTTTAGCCAACTTGGAACCGGACCACTCCGGATTTTCCAGGTGTTTGTGCGCAATATTTTTTTCTTCTTTCGAGTTCCATTTGACGTTATTTCTGAACGCGATCGACTACTTTGATCAAACTTGCACCAGTTGTTCTCTATAGAAGTGTAAACAAACACTGTCAAAGATTTTCGATTCCCAACACTGGAGGTGTGCTAGCGGCGCGCGAGGGGCGTACCAATTTACTTTTAGTCAGCCGTTACCATCACCGCCTCGCGACTCTTAAGGCCCACGCACATTAGATCCGGATCGGACGCGTTGCGGCAAAGTGACAGCTAAATCTTTTGTCTAACTGTCAAATTAACGTCAAGCTTCGAAAGATCAGGCCTTTGCACCGGTTCAA